TTACTATGTCCATATAGAATGTGCGGATTTAGATCTAAATTCTCGAGAGACCATAGTCATACAGTCTTTTCATCGCTGCCTGATGCTAGTTGGGTGTCATCAGGTGAGAAGGCTATAGTATAAACATCACTAGTATGTTTATCTAGAATGCGCGGATTATTATTTAGATCACAGTCGTACCGTCTTGTCATCGCTGCCCGATGCCAGTTGGGTGCCATCAAGTGAGAAAGCTACACTATTGACATTACTAGTATGCCCATCTAGAATGCGTGGATTCATATATAAGTTTTCAAGAGACCACAGCCGCACTGTGTTATCCCAGCTGCCCGATGCCTGCTGAGTGCCATCAGGTGAGAAGGTCACACTATAAACAATTGAAGTATGTTCATATAAAATGCGTCGTTTTAGGTCTAAATTCTCGATAGACTACAACCGCACCGTCTTGTCATCGCTGCCCGATGCCAGTTGAGTTCCATCAGGTGAGAAGGCTACACTATTAACATTACTAGCATTTTCATATAGAATTCGTGGATTCAGATCTAAATTCTCGATAGACCATAGCCGCAACGTCTATCTGGTATGTATTTTTTCTAACGTTTCGACATTATAAAGAAAAAATCTCATTTTCATTAGCAACGGCAAGAGAACGTTTATCTGGGGAATAGCAGCAGCAATAACACCCGTTTTAAAGATCTAAAAAAGGAAATTTGCCGAATTGCACGCCCGTCATATTAGCTTCACTAAAATCTGCATATTGCATCCATGCCCCGTAAAATTTAATATTAATTAAATCTGCTTCTTTGAATCGAGTACAATGAAACAAACCATAACTTTAATCCGCACCGGCGATATGAATGCCATTTAGATCCTTTTCACTAAATGACATTCCAGCTTTATTTAAAATTGAGATTGCATTTGCTGCGGCGATTTCAAAATTAGCGTCTTCTTTCGATTTCTCAATAAATTTGAAGAGATTCTCTTTGAACTTTTTTGCCTGTTTTGCATCTTTTGAACTCCCACCCTGTTGCACGTACTCGATTAGAAAACGAACTATTCCTAGATCACGTAGTGTTGAATTTTTTTCAAATAGAATGATGTTATCCTCTTTACATATCGACTCATAGATTGATCGGGCAACAAAGTATTCGAATAAAGATTTGTGGATAAATCGATATTGGTTACCATTGCGACTTAATAGAGAGTTATAACGTAAAAGTTGTTTCTCCGGATCTTTATATCCAAAGAATTCGGAACGCCAGCTTTTATCATCTGCGTCTGAATACTCTACTACTATTTCATTGGCCTTAAACATCTCAACGGCCAATTCTTTATTAAATCGCATACAATGTTGTGTAAAATCATTTTTATCTAGTTCTCTAAAGGCTTCTTTTTCTTTTTCTTCTAATTGAATGCGACTTAAACGGTCCTGGGATCGCTCAAACCATTTTTCCACAAACTCATTATATAATGTTAAGCGTGTAATGGTTTCTATCAAATTCTCACTCTCTTGTTGATATAGGACTGGCATGACTTGCATAGCAATCTTTAAGATAAACGGGTTACCAAATAATTGATCTGAATTAGGAATACTATTTAAAACGGTTTCATAACTTTGCACATTCCATATATTTTGGGCTACATCCTTGTGTTTTTCGACGTATTTTCTAATATATTCTCGAATTTCCTCTTCAGAAAAAGGAGCTAACCATATTTCCTGAAAAAGTCCAGAGTTATGATTAGGAATAAACTTTTTTTGATACTTCGTACTTAAATATTCTGGTCGACAACTAATAATAACTTTGGCATCCCACTGACTAAGTTTATTTTTATCATAAAAATTTGATTGTTGATCCTTGATCTCATCGTATCCATCTAATATAAACACGAATTTGCAGTTTTTTCTCAAGTTTTCAATAATTTCCTCAGAAAATCTTGCCTCTTTTAAATATTTTTGAATTACTTTCTCATTAGGATTTTCTATAGTTCGAAGCGAAATAAACAACGGGATATGCTTATTATCTATCTTATCTTTTGATGAATAATCCTCCCAAAGACATCGAGTAAGGTAACGGTTAAAAGTCGACTTTCCAGCACCAGCATCACCTAGAAGCAACAGAACCTTTTTTTCTGAAGCTAAGAAAGTGTCAACTTCTGTCTTCAAGTCAAAAGAGTTCGTGGTATTTGGGGACCACTTTCCCTTTGGTGGAGCATACAATCCTAATGCATCTTTAATCTCTTCGTCTTGTTCAAGTTCACTTAAATATTCCTCTTTTATTTCTGCCAGTGGTTCTGTGAGATTCGACGCTAAATTTTGTGATAATTTTAAACGGGCCTCAAATAATAGTCTGGAATTAATTTCAGGCTGCTTTGCAGAATTCATTATAGGTGGCACGTATATTGAAGAATTATATGCATCCTCACGAGGAGCAACTTTAACCATCGTCTTAGCGCAATTTTTTAAAACTTCATTGTCTTGGCTCTCTAAATGTCGTAAGATTGCCAATACCCACTCTTTAACTTCTGAGTATTGTCCCCATTGGGTTTCGTTTTGAAAAAGATCACCTAAAAACTTAACTGCGCCTTGTTGTATCTTTAAATCTCGTTGTGTACAGGCAATATGTCCTAAGCGTTGGCACAGACCTATTAAAAACCATTTGTTTTTATTATAAGGACTTTGGCGAACAAACTGCTCGAGTTTTATTAAATGGTTCTCTTGAATGAAAATATCTACAAATTGTAGAGCTAAATACCACTGTCTTGTCTGTTCAAATCCTATTCCTTGACGAATATCTTTTGTCCCTTCTCTTGATGTTTGAACTGTCTCGACTAATTCTCGAATACTACTTGCAATATTATCAAAGCCTCCAAATGCTTCACTGAAATCTTTAAAAGTATCCAGGAATTTACTTGGGTCTAAACTTCTAATTGCATTAACTAAATTAATGGTTCCACTAGCAAATTTAAAAGTTTGACGCATAACTTGTTGCCATAATTTCTCATCACTTGGGATGTACAACAATGTCTGGCAGGCGTAACGTGCATGGTAAGCTAATACTGGATTATCTTTTAGCTCTTTAAGCTGTTGATATAATGGCGCATGCAGCTTCTCACGATCGATACCTTTAACGCCTATCCGCACCATAGCATCCAATATCGGACAGATTGCTTGTAATAATTCGCAGAGTTCGACCTCATTATCTTCTTTATGCAGTTCTGTTAGACGTTCATGCAATATTTTTAATATTGCCACTAAATTCCCGGTAGTAACTTTTCCGATAATTAAATTGGGCATGTTTTGAATCACTTGAGTTAAACAAAATACAGTATTTTTTAGAAAATCTTATTATAAACAATATGAATCTGGAAAGTTGTTCAATATGGTATAAAAAAATCTTTAATATTATTAAATCTTATATAATTTGTAAGAGCTTGTTTATATTTAAAACATTCAATCAGTTTTATAGTATTTTTGGTTTTAAAATAATTAATTTACAATAACTACAGTAACCTGATAGTCTTTAGAATCAAACTATTTTAAATATCCTTTCTATACAAAAATTTCTTTACAATCTATATTCTGAATATTATAAAGATCTATACTGTTCTAAATATAACTTCTGCTCAAAAAATATCTTCTATACCTTCAATTGCTTTGAAGCTAGGGAAGAAACCAAGCAAATTATAGATTTAATTAACTTAATACTTCATTCAAATAATAACAATTATTTAATTTCTAATATATAACAAGTAATAAAATTAATATATGGAATTATTATCAATATTTTCTTAATAGTTAATATTTATAACTGAATTAAAGTATCTACTGAAGCTCTAATATTACCTTACAATTTTATATGAAAATCCTGCTATAATATAGCAAACACTTTTTGATTTACTGATATTAAGTAAAATAAAACATTAAAAACAAAAAATAACAAAAATAATAATAATAACAATAATAGTCACAATATCAATACATTATTAATCAATATTTCTTCCTATTATAATACTAACTTGACTTTTTTATCCAATAATATTACAGTCAATATTTTTATACTAGTTACAAAAATATTAATCCATAACAATTTTAATTTTGCAATATACATTTCCAATTTCATTTCTAATTACCATAATATTATCTCCCAAAACAACTCTAAGTAAACATTTATAGCTGTTCAGTATTATTTAATTAATATACTAGTTTTAAATTTCTTTTCTAATAGAAGTTAGATAATTACTGTAGACAAGCTAGCATTTAACTTATTGCAATTTGCATGTAAAAGATGTTTCTTTTTAAATGTATAGTATATCTTGTAATATACAAATAAATAAAGAAATGGTGTTTATTTATTCAAAAAAAAAAATCATTTATATTTAAAATTAAACAATTTATAATGTAAAATTAAATTAACCTATCAAAAATCAATAATTTATTTAATAATATAATTAAAAAAAAAATTAAAAATTAAAAAACGGAAATTTAAAATTAAAAAATAGAAATGGAATAAAAAAATAAAAAAACTAAGAATAAAAAACTAAAAAGTTAAAATTAAACCTATATTTTCTTTATTTCCTTCATATTTATTCTTCTATTCGAAATTACTTAATATATTAGACTTCAACTTTTCAGATACTATAGTACTATAGAATCGCGCTTTATTACTTAAGCGACCTAAAAGGGTTTAAGATATTAACTATAATTAATATTTTCTAATATCATTGTTATACTCTTGTGGAAGTCAAGTTATACAAATGCATACCATACTCAAATCCAGCTTTTTCTTTTGAACCTGTGTTTCTATTTCAATCCTTTCAAGTTCGACTTACTGCCAAAAAGATTTCACGTCTTCCTTCAATGCCAGATTCTGAAAAACTGAAACAAACAAGTTAGTTACTGGTGCTATGCAAAATCAGATAATAAAGCTGGTCATTGGATACTATGAATGAAGGACGATACTTCTTGGCAAGGAAAGACGATATTTCCATGCCTTCACATAGATTTAGGAGCCCACCGGAGGGGGATACTTCTTAAGCTGCTTACGACTCCTTCGACACTATGAATGAAGGACGATACTTCTTGGCAAGGAAAGATGATATTTCCCTGCCTTCACATAGATTTAGAAGGAGCCCACCGGAGGGCGATACTCCTTAAGCTGCTTAGGTGGTTGTATTGAAACGAAATTCCGACTCCTTCGATACTATGAATGAAGGACGATACTTCTTGGCAAGAAAAGATGATATTTTCATGCCTTCACATAGATTTAGGAGCCCACCGGAGTGGGATAATTCTTAAGCTGCTTACGACTCCTTCGACACTATGAATGAAGGACGATACTTCTTGGCAAGGAAAGTTGATATTTCCCTGCCTTCACATAGATTTAGAAGGAGCCCACCGGAGGGCGATACTCCTTAAGCTGCTTAGGTGGTTG